TGTGAGTGTAGGTCTTACATTCTGCCTCTTGCTCATCTTTGGAACCTTGTTGATTATCATGCTTAAGGTGCGAGTGAAGGTCTTACATTCTGCCTCTTGCTCGTCTTTGAAACCTTGTTGATTATCATGCTTAAGGTGTGAGTGTAGGTCTTACATTCTGCCTCTTGCTCATCGTTGAAACCTTGTTGCTTATCATACTTAAGGTGTGAGTGTAGGTCTTACATCCTGCCTCTTGCTCATCTTTGAAACCTTGTTGCTTATCATGCCTGAGATATGAGTATAGGTCTTACCTTCTGCCTTATCTCGTCAATCTAAAAACGGCTGAATTTGTCGCGTGGGTGAGAGGGTCCTTTTTACCATCTGCCTCAGTTTGTAATAAACCTATCTGTTGTCCTGCTTATTAGTAATATTAATACGCTGTTTAAACGGTTTTTCTAGAGTCAGTGGCACGTTAACTCGAAATTTGCTATTAGCAATCGATTACTTGTTGTATAATTTCTCATTTCGCTCTATACTTCACCTCCTGTGAATATTATTCATCATTTTACTCTATTATCTATGATTTATGCCATATCTATATCGTCATCATGAACTAGATTTTTTGTCTTCCTTATTATGGTAATCAGGTTGACCTTTTAGTCGAGTTTGTTACAACTCTGACTGTTTTGTTACCGGACTGTTTGTTTTTATTAATCACATTTTTTAGAATAAGGTTATTTGAATTAATCCAAGGGGTTTTATCCACTTTGGATCCTTGATTTGTATAATGTAATTAATCAGGAATTTATAAGCTCTTTCGAGTTTATATCCAGTATCTCCCTGTAAAGTGGCAATAGATAGACTATTTTCACTTTATTTCGGATAATAATAATAGACTTTCGTCTTTATGTATTTTCTCAGATATGAGATTTTATCCTTAATATCTTGTTACTTCTAGATAATTTCCTCGTTTTGAAGTAACAAGAATATTTTGTTAATTCTTCTTCAAGTACTTTCTTGTATCTTGAATAGTAATTTAACGTTACTGTTTCCAGTAAATTTGGGTATCAAATCTTCTTTGAATGAAGTCCTGGCGGGGAAGCCATGTAAAGAAATATGTTGTGGTTTTTCTACCGAATCGTTCATAGTAATAGATTCTTTATTTATTTCCAAGGACATTCTTAATAAGTTGATATTGATCCCGTGTATTAAAGTATATAATATACACATGGGAATATAATTAACATGACAAGTGTCAATTAAGATCTTGTCATTTCTTATATAAAGTGTTGGAAAAGTTTTAACGTCAGAAATAACACTTTCGTGTAAAGTAACATTTCTTTATCCTATATGAATAATGTCGTAATACGTATATATCACGTGTTACCTCATAATTCTGACACATAGGAAGTGGAGTGCAAAGGCATCACTATTTTTATTATAATTAATTAATAATTCTGAGATTATGAGATTGGATCTAAACCTATAAAAAGGCATGACATTTTGGTACATCTAAAATATTGTTTATCTAAAATATTAATATATATTTGTTTAGTTACATTTATAAGACACTACAGAGAAATAAATATAAATATTATATTAAAAGCATCTTGTATCAATCACCCAAATGAATCAATCAGATATTACTTTTACNTCTGAAACATATAATATAAATAGTTTTATACATTGGAACCGAAAATTTGTTCGTTTTATATATTAGTGAAATCGATACATTAACCGTGTACTAAAAACATCAATAGTGACCTTAACTTTATCCTGGAGTATCAAGGATAAAGTCACATTAAGTGAAATGAGACGTAAAGGAAATTACATAAAGAGACAAATTTTGGATTATAAATATTTATATTAGTTACCATTTATATAGAGTTGTCATTTAGATAAAATTAGACAAGTTGTATTATTGTAAACAAGTGACACACGCTGTTAGTGTTTGCATTACAACAAAAATGTTAAATTGTTAATGAGTATATAAGCCCTGATGTGATCCCTACTTAATTTAGTCCTATTAAGCTTGTCCTTTTTTCTATATAACTATATCTAACTCTACATTCGCATCTGTATTACCATCTCTAAACCTTGACTAAATTGGCTTTTTTGTATGTCTTTGATTTCATGAGTTTGCAACTACTTTCAATATTTGTTAATATGGATCATTTTATGTTTCCTGTCGCCCACGTTGATGTGTATTACTCACATTGTCTCAATTTATTACTTGTGACAGTGCTGTTAGTTGGTGTTACCATGCAACAGAAAATCAAAATAAAGGACTTAATAATATATGCTTAAACCGTGCTAATCACTTGCAAATTTGTCCGGGATCGTTGAATTTAAGATAAGCGTTGCAGAATATTTGGATTAGTTAGTTACTAATCTACAGCCAAGACGAAGGACAAAGACAAAAAGACACAAGTTACCAAGTTAAGATAATAAGCAACAAGTAAAGTCACAAGACATAGGTACAGGTCACACAGAATATATAGTCACTGATAATACGATATATATATAGGTAATAACATAATAGAATCAATAGTTAGATTATTACAAAAATTATAACTACTGGTTTGTAGGATTACGTTGGCTCATTGTGGTCACTCTGTTACTAGATAACTGGGTCAGTGTGCGTGTATATATTTTAATTATGTCTGTTTATGTTATTCGGTTTAGGTTTTGTTTTTGTCTCGGCTTTGTTTTGTTCTCTTAGTTTTTTTTTGTTTTTTTTTTTAATTTTTAATTTTTAATTTTAAACACTCCAGAAGGAAAGTTTTGATGCGTCACACATCACAATTCATCTTTAATGTAATTCTTGCCTGGCTGCCACTGGCCATTATCTGGACACGGTATGTCCCATATATTCTGGCTACAAAAATGGACATCATCCCAGAGTGACACTCTTATGTCGGCATTCCACGTACCTCTATGGTTAAAATGGATGCACCAACTCGAAGCGTCTGTGTTAGATACTGCTTGAGCCGCTCCCGCAAATGCCTGTCTAATCGTGTCTTCGCTCGCGGTAGTGTCACAATTCTTACCTGTAGTGTAAGCAGACACGGCTATAAGGTAGGACACTTTATCCGATCCTCCGTTAGGATAAGTATCATACCACTGTGTTACGCTACCGCAGACTGTCTTCTGTGATGATTGTTGTGCCTGTTGAAATACGCCCAGACTAACCCGTATCCAGCCAGGAGCATCGCCAAGTAAGCCGGTGTCGAGGGTCCACGTCCACGTTTTTGATATGATTCGCATGACGACGTCCCTGTTCTCCCAGAAACAATACACTGTATCAATCCAGGTTCTGGCATAGCCTGAATCACAATGATTAACCGCTGCTTCACGTTTTGGCATATATGTCGGAGTGTCACTAGTAGCACCAAGTTGGTTGAGTAAGTGTTCATAAATCGCGTTAGCGTCCTCAACGTTCCGTCTTGTTAGCTTTGGTGAAGGTCCAGCTACTGCCAGGTTCTGAGCCACTTCACGCAGAGCTAAAGTATTCACAGCTATCCCCTGATATGAAGCACCAGACCCATCTCCTGGGCCGTAAGTGCCATACTGTCTAGCTATATGTTCTGGTGATCCCATGGCTAGATTGTAGGCAGTTACGTTAGTTCCGTCTTTGAAAAAATACACGGTTTTAAGCTCATCGTATGTTACATTAACCAGTTCTCCTGAGAAAGCATTGTACGTATTGTTGCTTAACACAGTAGTGTTACCTGAAACTATGTCTCCCAGGCACAGGCTGACATAGTTCGACAATATACATAAAAGTAGGGCGGTCACCATCTTTTCGTATTTTTTTTTTTTTTTTACTAGATAACTGGATCATTTCTTTTTTCTGATACACAGTTACCTGTTATATTACTATACATACCTCTCTTTTATACTTCAAGATGCCTTCAAGAGTTTTCGGTTCGGACAAACACTCGTGAGACATGATAATATGGCTTTATAAGAAAAAGTCACATGACCAATGTCAGCAATAACTGAACTACTGACATCATTAAATCGAAGCAATAAATATTACAAAACTCATTACTGCAATTGTGTATCAAGAAAGAATCTAAATTGTTTGTTTCTGGTAACATATTATTATACCAAAGTTACATATAGAAAGTAGTTTGTTGCCGTTCCTCCAGTTTTAGCAAGCCAGAATATTCACAACCAAGATAAATATTCATCCAATTGGATTGAAATTAACTTATTATTATATATATTCTAAGTTATATCAGAGAAATAATATGCATTTATTAGGTATTAAGTATATAGGGTATTATACATGGGGTATCTATTTAAATTTTTGGGGTATTAATATAAATTATAATTTCAGTTCTTTATATATTTGTGAGATCACTGAACTGAAATTGAAAAATTGTCCTTATTAGAAATAAAAAATCCTGTTGTTTATAGAATCATTGATCCTGGATTTATTGTTACAGTTGTAATTTTGATGTGTAAATTGTGGTTTATAGTTATTTTCTATTTAAACCTTTTCGTTTCATTATTTTTGATAGTCTTTTATATAGCACTTCATCTAACTCGTCAAATGAATCAAGAGTTAGATCGTCAACATTATCATCATCGGTGTCATCAATATCGATAAAATCATTATATATTGCGAAATTATCCACCGTTTGAATGGGCTTTTTAATCTCTCTAAATTCCGATTGTGTTGGGATTCTGATAATAAGTTCGTCAGTATTGTCTGTACTCTGAGAATAATTTGAAATACTAAAATTAGAAGATTCGTCTTCACTAAAAATACTTTTCATCTTATATGTCTTATCCTTATTGTAATTCCTAATATTATCCTTTATTCTATCTAAATTAATTGCGTCATCAGCTTTATGGGTATCAATTATTGATTTTTTCTCACTTGCATTATCCTTAGAATTTCCGATATTAATATTAGCATAGTTTGGTATGCTTGCAGTATCGCTGGACGACTTTTCACTGTATAGATATTTTTCAATATTACTTAAATCGTCACTTTTAACCGTCGAAACTGTTTTAACCATAAAATTAACTTCATTTACAGTATCCTGACTACCTCCATAATAATAATTACCTTGATGGTCTATAATAAATGTCATCTCGTGTTCTTTACTATAAACCGTTTCAAATTCTTTCGTATCACCAGAAAGAGAAGAGGCAGATTTCTTTTCAGAAGAGTTAACCCAAGTCTTTGAACTGTCAGCATACATTGGTATCAATGGCTTCTTTTTTCCAAAGTATTGGTGCAATAATTCATCTGGTACAATTTTTTCTGTCATTTTGAATTTACGATGAAAGTAAGAACTGTCATAGAACTTATAAAATGAAAATGTGATCGCAAACGAAATGCTGATTAATCCGACTGGTAATAATATTAAAAATAGGGTCAATCTCCTTCTTATAGATTTTGAGTTATCCAACTCACTGTTATAGAATAAATCTAAGCTACCAACTTTTGCATAATTTTCATCGTCTAACCATGTATT